AAAAAAAAAAAAAAGGGTTAAAAAAGAGCACTTGTATAAAATGTGTACTCATTATCAAGAAGGCAAAAGTTGAATGGGTGCATCATTCGAGATTTAGGAGTTAAATCATTCCTTCAAAATTAGGCATGTCATACAGAAATGTGCATCTCATTGACTTTCACTGTAATGATGTTACTTTTCAGTTACACAGTTGTCTCAGGTGTTGGCAAGAACATTGCCTGTCCCAAAATAGTAGCTCTCCTTGCTGCCTGGACTGAACTTGCCCTTGAACTCTGACAAGGAATCAGCTTAGCTACACTTTTCTCCTAACCTAATCACTCGTGGAGAGTTGCGGAACACACCCCATTATTGCTAATCTTTTTCTTTTTGTTGCAATAAAGTGAATGACCTCGGGGCTGACACTAAAGGGGGCGGAAAGAGTTCTGCCGCTGCGGATAAGGTGGTGGAGGAGATAAGAGCGAAGGGAGGCAAGGCCGTGGCGAACTATGGTGAGAAGTTTAAGATCTTGTCTTGAGTCTTTCTCTCCTCTAGCACATCATTATCTACATCTCTCATTGTTGTCTTTTGTTTACCTTGTGGTGTTCAGCTTATGTAATAATGAACTTGATAATCAAAATAATGAATGTGAGAATATTAGCTGTTTTATAGAAAAGGTGTCCCCTCTCACCATTGTACATTTGACATATGTTAGAAAACCTTTAAATTACAATTCAAGACAATGCTGTAATGTGTTGTATAGGCAGATTAGAAAGAGGGATTTATTTGAAATGTAATTCAAATGTTGGCATACTTGTATCCATTGTATAACAAGCTATGATGCCAATCTTGGTATCAATAGCAATCTTCTTTGCCATTGAAAAAGGTGACTCAGCTCGTTTCATTACTCAACATACTGAGCATGTAGGGAGACTTTCAACCTTCTCATAAGCCTCTCTCCTCATCACTAATATTATGGTGGCACTATGGACCTAAATGCAACCAATACCAATGTAAACAAAGAATAATTAAACAACCAACAACAGATTAATAGATACAGTCCTACAGGAAACCCACACATACAGAAATAATGTAAGATTAATTGTTTATGAAATGTGAAAATGTCCAAAAGTACTCTGTGACCGTCTCTTAAATGCACACACAGATTCTGTGGAAGATGGAGAAAAATTGATCCAATCAGCATTGGATGCATTTGGAAGAATTGGTGAGCATTGTTTGGATACTTATCATGATGAACTTATCTCAATGAAATAATTGTTTTTAACTGATATTTGAAATCTATCTTTTTCTCCAGATGTTCTTGTAAACAATGCTGGGTAAGTACTTGCACTCGAACAATCAAACTGTTTTCTATATTAAATAACATCATCTGTTTTTTAAGGTGTGCTTAATTGTAGTTAGATTATTAATTGGAGTATGCACTACTATAATCATGTTAACAAGATCCTTCAGTTTTGTCAAAAAGTATTCTCTGTGTATTCTCTGCCAAGGATCCTTCGTGACCGATCATTTGCCCGGACGAGTGATTTGGACTGGGGTAATTTCAATATTTTCTTTACTCTTATGAACTCTTACTGTGTATGGGGGGGGACTCATATCACGGTTTTTACCTTTGTTTGTTTCATCTCATAGTCTCATGTTCCACCATGCTATAAGTAAAAACATGTTTTAACATTGGTTTGTTGCGGATGTACTTGATGTCTATGAAAACAAGTTGCCTGTGTGGGAGTTTGAGAAGCAACTAGCTGGGTCTGATCCAAAATGTTCTAATGTGAAATAACAAAAGTGCAAAAGGTGTTCACGATGTTGCTTCACTTTCTCTCCATTTCAGACCTGATTCACAGAGTTCACTTGAGAGGCTCCTTTTTGGTGACGCGAGCTGCCTGGAACCACATGAAAAATCAAAAGTTTGGCAGGTAAAGAGATAAGCTACTAGCCAACTAAGCATTTGAGGTAGATGGATGTGATGTGTGCTCTTATATTGGGAGGATTTGTTCATATTTTTTACATCCAACAATGTTACATAATTGCTGGACTATAATCCAGAAGAAACAAAATGCTGTTTGGTTAGATCTGATTCAGATGTCGGCTAAATTACCAAAGGTAGTCAAAAAGTTTGAATATGACCCACTTTATGTGGCCTTTACAGATATGCAATTCAAGTTATAATGAATATGCCATCACATTTATTATACACACATTATGACTCCAACTTTAGTCGATTGACACGCCTTAATATTTCTGGCTTCATTGGTTTCATGGTTGGCAATGAAAAAAATCTGCATACTAATAAAAGCCCCAGACAGCACATTTGATATGAATATATAAATCACCAGAGAATGAAGGAAATTACTTAATTTGGTTATGCAGCACAATGCAGATTAATATCTTACAATTTGAGTTCTTTTTAAATTGATGACTTAACAAGAACCTCACCTTATTTTTCTAAGTAGCACAACTTAAACAATTCTGAATAATCACTGAAGTTGTAGAGGTGAGGTTGTTTTGTCAGACCTTCAACATCCTTATCTCTAGAAAAGTCTCTTGAATGGGAAGCGAAACATTCAGTGGTTAATTTACACTGACTTAAAGCAGTGAGGATGTATGTAGAAATATATTGAAAATGTTTTTAAGGGTTAATCTGTTAATCATAATCTTATGAAAGATGGTGCAGATATTTTGACTCGTCAAACACAGGTTCTACTCATTCAGTGGCAGCATTCTGGATGATCTAAACTCAACACCTGTGCTTTCTTTTCCTGCTATAAAAAGTAAAAATGTGTGCTCTGACAAGGGCCTTTGGAGGTTTGCATGTTCTGAATTTGAATTTTCAGAAGAAGGTCACACAACCAGCTCTGCTCCCATGTTACTTCAGGAAACAGATGCCCTTCACACGTGCTTCACTTGAATTGGTGATGAAGAGAGTTGTCCAAAAGCATTAAAGTAGCATTCTGCAGAAGGTTTTCATGCACTGAGCCTAAGAGAAGCCTATTATAAAACAGACAAATACAGATGAACATAAATGCAAAATGTAAAACTTGTTTTCTAATATTCATGGAAGAAAGGAGTTATACATTATTGTCCACAACTTAAACACAAATACATTGTGTATTCAAAGCTGAAAACGTTTACAGAAAGAAATAAAAACTTTGAATGTTCATGATATGTTACCTAGACACAATGTGCATACTGTAGAAACAAAGATTATAAATAAGCATGAAGCGGCACTAAGACATAATAAAACGATGTAACCTTAGTTCCAAAGTGAACACCTGTTTGCTGGTGCTCTGAAGCTCTGCAAAAATTGAAAGATAGATATTAGTACACATATACACTGTCTGATTAATCCAGCAGTGAAAAGGTTGCGGTCAACATAAAATACAGCGACCCTCTCACCCTCTCTTCCACACACACCTCACACAGGTGAACAGGTGATTATATTACCCATGGGGGCCGCCCATACCCATGTGACCCAACTCAAAATAGGTCCAGAAATAATAAGTAATAATAAGTAATAAACAAAGCCCAATGCCAAAATATAAACAATCAAGAACCCCAATAAATCATACGTCAGAAATCCACACTCTGACATTCCTGACTCCTACAGGTCCCTTCAGTAATTAAATCATAGACTTTAGTGTATAAAAAAAAAAAAAGAAGTATTTTGAAAAATATTGTATCGCTGGTATATCCTGGTGTTCTATTGTAGTGCACAGTGTGCCGTGATATGGATCACTGCCTTCTGATGACCTGGGAGACGGCACGTTTCAGATGTCTCCTACTGTTAATGTGGAGTTGGTGCTATACCTCATCACGTTTGCTTGACTGGATTTAACTCTCTGCGTGACATTACTAGCAAAATTGTAAGCTGTTCATACATGTATTTATTTCTGCATGTACAGTGTTCAAGTCAATTTGCACATAGATGGCTTTATGTGTGAATGAGCTATCATTACATGACTATACGCCTACATGTTCATACTCTCGTGTGTTTATGAATGCATGAAAAATGCACACCACTTAGTGAGCTTATGTGTGTGTGGGATGTCTGTTTTTCCCGCTAGTCAAAAGCAATGCCTGTAACTGACTTGTTGCCCTTTGGTTTTCTGTGGCCAGAATCATCATGACCACTTCCGGCGCAGGCATCTACGGAAACTTCGGCCAGGCCAACTACAGCGCCGCCAAGCTGGGCCTGCTGGGGCTGGCTAACACCTTGGCCATCGAGGGACGCAAGTACAACATCTACTGCAACACTATTGCTCCTGTGGCCGGCTCCCGCCTCACAGAGACTGTCATGCCCCCAGGTGAGCCCGGAGATTAAAGTGTAACACATACTGGGATGATCTGTTTTGTATAAGGCCAAAATAGACAGGGATTTTCCCGGTAGTTTCTGTTCTGCATAATGTAATGCCACGTAATGTTGATTTACAAAATGTTAGGCAACAGCACTCCCGTTTGACATGCAAATGTGCCTTTTCAATATTCAAGAACTGTGGTTTTTACTGTTCCGACGGCCATGATGAAACCATGCATCCTGTAAGTTCTTTAAAAGTTTTAATGTGTCAGCCCTTGATTTAAACAGGCAGCTCTGACCTCTTTATTTTGCTCTAGGTGTTAGCCGTAATTCCAAGTACTTTCAAAAAGTATGAGAAAATATGTAAATGGGACATTTATATTTTTCAGGTTTAAAATATGTCTTAAGACGGAAGATGTCGCAGTCTTGGATACCGACAATAAACACGATTGAATACAGCTTTTGAACGCAGGAGACTCTGTTGCCTTTGAACATTATATCAAACAAAAAGTAAACATTAAAAAAGACAACTTGTCAGGGATTTTAAAGGCAATGATTTATAGGAATCTGCCATGTTTTAAAAGGATCTCAAACGGCCGTGAAGATGGAGAATGTTTTTCTAACCCACCAAACCCAGTGTGGATAAATATCCTAACTTCTTTACGGACATATTGTGCCTGCTCTGTGACTGCAGCTCTGTTGATTGGGGTGTTAAATGACAAATTAGAGGAATGGCTCTGCTGCCCTGCTGTGCCGGTCTACCGTAGCATCTGTCACGCTGCGCTGTGCCAACTGTCACAGGATGGCCTTACCTTAGTAAATGACTTGGTACCATATGTTGGCTTTCACTGACTCAGGCTTTTCTAAAAAAAAACACAAAAAAAACCTTCTTGCTAAACATTGCAGAGTGCAGTGAAACAGAATGCCTGATCTTTCTCCTCCATGTTTGTTGATGGAAGGATGCAGATGTTCTCAGCACGCATATGGTGTTCTGTATTTAATCTTTTACGCTTCAGACTGGGAATTAAAAGCCCGTGCCTTGTTTGCTTGACTTCATGCCGACATGTTAAGTAATATGAGTCATAACTTATTAAAAATCTGCAGTTATCACTTCAAACTGCATTTGATCTGGACCTATGTGCTCATGCATTCAAAAGCTCTGTTTCCTGCTCCGGTGTCAGTGCATGGTCTGTGTTCTTTTTTCAGTAGAAGACAGATTCTAATAAACAATTCACACAATGTTATAATAAGACTTATCATTAACACAGCATCCTTTTAACAATACACTATACCAAACAGTATTTTGTCCTAAAAAACACCCATTTTCTTTTCTCAACAGCTGTGCAATGAACATAAGCTGTATGTTTGTTTTGTTTTGTTTAGACCTTGTGGCATCTCTGAAGCCTGAGTTTGTCGCTCCCTTGGTCCTCTGGCTCTGTCATGAACAATGCCAAGAAAATGGAGCACTGTTTGAGGTATTAAATACAAATAAATAAAACACTTTCTTTATTTCTCTTCATAAGATGAGTAAGATCTCACTCCCACTGTACTCCCTGTAGTTTTTAACATTCTTTGTCATTGAGAACAGCAACGTACCGTTACATATTCATTATACATCAATTGACAGTATATATATATATATATATATATATACATTTTTTAGATCTGTGTGTTTGCTCATCTGCTCATGTTCCATGCTCTTTCAGACTGGTGCAGGCTGGATTGCTAAATGTGAGTATTGTGTGCATCTTCCCTGAGGAAATGTCTGTATGCATCTATGATATTCATTAGCCCCTGGTTCAGTGTGTGTGTGTGTGTGTGTGTGTGTGTGTGTGTGTGTGTGTGTGTGTGTGTGTGTGTGTGTGTGTGTGTGTGTGTGTGTGTGTGTGTGTGTGAGTGTGTGAGTGTGTGAGTGTGTGAGTGTGTGTGTGAGTGAGTGTGATTTTTACTATGCAGCAACCTCTTTCTTTGTGTTTGTCCATGTGTGCAGTGCGCTGGGAGCGTTCTCTGGGCCGCACTGTGAGACAGAAGAACCAACCCATGACCCCCGAGGCTGTCAGGGACCAGTGGGGCCAGATCTGTGACTTCACAGATGCTACCAAGCCGACGAGCTTGCAAGGTCAGTAATGGGCAGAAAACCCGCCAAACCATTAGTCTCTTTTGTGTACAAAGGGTAAATACTGCATAGGCAACACACACACTCTCATACGGACCATATAGTATGTCACAATAACATTTTCATTATTCATTCCTGCTTGGTGTTGAGCTGTTACTAAGGCCCTTTCACTCGTTTTTATTTGAGTCCAAATGTTGGTTGGATAACACTCCCTCATAGCCCTGCTTGTCTGCTTTCACACTTGTTTGACTCATTCTGTGTTTATTCAGAATGATTCAGATTGCAGGTCGCCTTCACAGCTACACTGAATCTAATCAAAGGTTGGTAGCAGAGGGACATACAGTATCTCGAGTTTCTTGAAGGCGCTTCAAGGAGGACTACTGTAACTTACTGTAAAAAATATTTAGATTTGATTCAATGCTATTTCAGTGTGACAGTGTGTGATATTGGTAAAACAAGGAAATATATTAAGGCAATTAGAGAGCTCAAACACTATTTTAAGGAAGAATTGTGGTTAAAATCATTTTAAAAAGCTTGTAGCCAGTGAAGTACTCATGTAGTCATGACTGGTCTTTTGTAACAGTGACAACTTTCTTCATGATCTTAGCCTATTGAGCTCTGTCAGCTCATCTGTTATTACAGGGAGTTTTGAGCGGCGACAAGATGGTGTTGTAGATCAAGCGAATGAGCGGAGGAAAAGGGTGAAGCCAAACTCAATGTCAACGCAAGCCTAGTGTTGTTCCTGAAAGGTCTCCTGCAAACAGGAGGGTGGCAAATGTTGATTATGATTCTCTCCGCCTCCTCCATCCTGCATCACGCTCTCAGATGTACATTCGGGGAAAGGGCGGCGGTGTTAACATTACCCGAACGAGGGTGGCAGTCCCAAAGGGCGCTAGCTAGCCTCATTAGCATGACTTTGTAGTGCCTCCTCATTTGTAGCTTATTACAGAGACTTGTTGCTGCCTCTGCTCTGTAACTGAGTGACAGTCATTATGGGCTGTGGTCTTCTCACGGTCTCTCTTCCTCGGTTTCTATCTTTGTTTCTGTTAATATTCATAGGTATTTCTAGCTTGTGTTACCTGAGTTTGTTTTCGTTCTATTTTTAGGCAAACTATGTTTATTTTTAACTCCCATGAATCTCATCCATTTAAAGCTGCTCCTGGATGTGTTGGATTGAAATTCTTATCGTGTGTTGACATCTCCCCCTGAAACTCAATTTAACTTTACTTTGATCAATTTAACTTGAGATTAAGGGTATTCCGCGCTATTGAAGCAAAAAAAAATAATAATATTCGGATCCCATTATTGATACCTCATCAACGTCTTATTGTGCGTTTTACAACACAAAAATGTAATTGTGACAATTATGACTCGGTCATTAAAGGTGGGGTAGGTCATTTTGGAGAAACCAGCTCGAGTGTGCTAGAACTTGAAAATACACAGCCGGAACAAATCTGCCACTTCCTTACAGAGCCCCTCCTCCAACACACACGAACACGCACATGACCAATGAGGGCACGAGATAAGTTTGTGCACAGATGGAAGGCTGACAGGCAGGTAGGCCATCCAGTTATTTTAGCTGGGCCGGCTAAAATGATTGGTCGTGCTTTTTACAGTACTACGGCTTCCACAGATGAATTTTTTTATGGATTTTGTGTCAAAGCACTTCAGATATTCATTGCTATCGGGATGTTAAGAGCATTCCATGGAATATAACAAACCGTGTATCTCGAGCCGGTTTCTCAAACTTACCTACCCCACCTTTAAGTATCAATAAAATAATCTATCCAAAATATATTGAACTATAAGTTTGTCTGATTTTCCTGATCTGTATGAACGGATGTGCAGCTGCAGTAAAAAGTGATTGAGAGTGATAAGAAAAAGGGATTCATGTTCAGAGTGCAATGTTAGTTAAGTGCATGTAACCTAGATAAATCCTCTAACTGTTGTTGAGGAACATAAATAGATGAGAATTCTAGCTTGCCAAAACAAAGTTAGTCTGCATTAGTTAAACCACATTTGAAGGATGGTTGCTAAAGTAAACTCAACTGATGGTTGCATTGTCAATATCTCCTTCACAGAGGTTTTAAGTATCTATCTTTTGGAAAGAGTCTGTGGCATCATAGATTCACATTCCTAAGGTCTAATGGCTGGCCCTGAGAATCGTCTCTCTTTAACTCATTAGTCTTTTCTCACCTTTTTGTAGAGTCTATGATGTCGATTGTGAGTGTGCTGTCTCAAGTGGAGTCTGGTGGAGAAGTCAGTGGGAACCCTACAGCTGCAGCAGCCTCGTCTTCAGGGATCAATCCTGTGAGTAGACACCGCTGAATATTGTCTTTGACTATAATGTACAGGGTCTCTGCAGGTCTTCCATAATATTTAAATTATTCACTCAATCATTTTTTTCAGCTGATGCATTCATGCATTCATGTGGCAGTAATTTGATAAATTATTTCATGACAAGTTTTTTGTTATGTGTTGCAAGAAATACCAATGGTTGATAAATAGCTGTAGCCTGCTGTGTCAGCCATCCTGTATTCATACTTTGGCTGATCATGGGTTTAAGTTTCCATTCATTGTGGTGGGAAAAATGCTTTAAAAAGTCCTGAATTTGACTTGGTGAACTCCTGAAGAAACACTGGTGTAACTGGATGTGAACAAAATCCTAATCCTACAGTAAACATTAATGTGACCTGACCATAATTTGCCCTTATTTACTTTGATAACCTTTGTCCCACTTACTATGTAACTTATTCCCTTCACCTGTCCTCCTCCTCATTTTGCCCTTTGCCTTTATTCCTACTGTACATTAATGTCTGCACTCTGCAGTACAGATCTTCTCCTTATTTAATTTACACTGCATAATGCTGCAGCTCGAGACTATGACGGTTGGTTGATGATGACTTCTGAAATTGTGGAGCTGTAAAATCTCCGACTGTTTCAAACATGGCAACTCATGACTCTTTAATTCCACCACAGTGTACGAAGTCAGGGACGATAATAACCTTCTCAGAAAAGCTCCTTCAACATACAGAATTGCTTTGATGACTGTTGCATCACTTTTTCATATTTACAGCAGACAAAAGCCAACTGAGATTAGCTTTTTCAAAGCGACGTACAAAAGACATCGAGCACAGCAGTGCAGTGACAGCTCTCCGGGTGGGGGCTCCTCCACTTCACTGTGTTCCCTATCATGGAGTCTAAGAAAGTGAACTGGTTCCCGCTCACTTTCACTCACTTCAGCGGCTGCGTTGCTTGCATAAAACATTGAGCCTCAAGTATAATTGAATCACATTAAATAATTATGCAGAGAAAAGGCCACCAGTTTCTGTTAAACTGGTTGTAGCATGAAGCCAACAGATGAATCCTTTTTATCTTATATTACTCAAAACAGATGACTGAACACATATTTAAAAATTACAAAACAGCTGATTAAGCTTTAGAATCATCACTACCTAATGAGTGAAAGATTAATCAGGATGAATGCTTCGCTAAGTGCAGTGGAGGCTGCAACATGCATCAGCATCAGGAAACAATGCACTGTTGCACTTGGCTGGTAATGGAGGGGTCCTGCTGCATAATGTAAAGCATTTTAACTTAATGTCAACGCTTGCTTCCAGGGGGGACGTTGTTGCAAGCTAAAACTATTTTTATCCTCATCACCACTGTCTATATTTACGCTCATATATTTCAAAACTTGATCTGTTTTGGTTTGGTAAAAACACTACACTTTCATTTATACTACATGGTAAACTGAGCTTTCATATAGCTTTATAATTACAATTAAGATCAATGTTATTAATCCCTGAGGGGAGATTGCGTTTTTCAATCTGGTGTAATTTTACAATTACAAACATAGGCCCGAAATACAAACTCAACCGGCAACCTGGTTCAGTTCCCAAGCCAAGTTCCTGTAGACTGAGCTGCTGCCCCCCCAAGTATCTCTACACTTTTGTGTCTTTGTCTGTAAGTACATTTAACCAATAACATTTTAAAAGACACTCGAATCACTTCTTTAACATCCTGTAAGGCATTCATATTACAAAGTGTGTGTGTGTGTGTGTGTGTGTGTGTGTGTGTGTGTGTGTGTGTGTGTGTGTGTGTGTGTGTGTGTGTGTGTGTGTGTGTGTGTGTGTGTGTGTGTGTGTGTGTGTGTGTGTGTGTGTGGGGCCTGTTTATTTGGAACAGGGTCACAAAGTAGCCTCAAGACAAACATCACTATTGTGTCCTCAGCTGACTTAGAGAGTGTGTGTGTGAATACTAATGTAGTGCACACACGTAAGTAGTGCATGTATTGCTTAAATTACACCACACTGTTGTACATATATTTATTTAATATCCTGCAAAGTTTCATTAGGTCTGGTTACTGCAGTTCAGTGCACTCACATGTGATTTAATGTCATCCAACTGTATTATCTTTACATTTGTTAAACCTGAGTGTGGCCGATATTATGTAGTTGGTCTATAATGCCAACATATTTGGTTCAGCTCACATAATAACAAAATTATTTTAGTTTTTTCATGATATCGAAAAAGGTTAAAACAATTGGCTGTCATTTTGCAAACAAAAAAACTTCCCTTGTCTTTTGTGATGGTAAAATATATGGATGTAAGAACTGTGGTTGGACATAGCAACATTTAAAGGAGACAGATGAAGTTAAACTCTTTTTTTAAAGGTCCCCTATTATACTCTTTTTCAACAATATATTATAGGTCTCAGATATATACAAACATGTCTCTGAAGTGTTTTGCTAGAAAAACCAAACAGATCATGCATTGTAGCATCCCATAAACCCCTCTGTTTCAGCCCTGTTTCAAAAGTGCTGATTCTCTAACTGTAGCTCTAAATGCAAATGAGCTGCTGCTGGCCACACCCCTCTGCAAAGTGTTTGGTTTAAAACAACCACAATGGTGCTTTAGGATGAGATTCAGGTGATAAGGTGGGGGGAGGGGGGCGGTGCGGTGTTACCTTGGTTGGTTATTGGCTAATGGTTACACAACCCAAAAAAACATTGTGACACTACAAAGTGGCCAAATATGATCACCTCATTTACTGACAGGTTTTTATATAAATGGATCAGGACAAAAAGAGAGAGAGTATTTCTTCCTGAAAATGTCTGAATCTATTAACACAGAGGTGACATGTTTATGTATAAAGGACATGAAAAAGTGGATTTTGTATAATAGGTGCCCTTTAAAATAATTGTCGGTTGCTGCTTTATATTCAAGCAACTTGTACTTTTCGTGGCATCAGAGATTCAGGTGTAATGAGTGGCACTGAGGTTTAAATATCGTTTTTTTTCACCTCATCTTACAAGCTTTTGATTTTTGTTTTCTGGTGCCCTTCTCCACCTTTTGTGTAGAATCCCTCCAGTCAGTTGTGAGTGAGCTGCCTCGAGTGGAGTCAGCGGAGGAGTCGGAGCGATCCAACAGCGTCCCAGCGGTTACACAGCTATCATCTCAAACACTAGGCCACCAGGAGGCCCCAAAAAAACAAATCCCTTTGGCTACAAACCCAATTTTGACCTTAATAAAGGGATTTTTACTTCATCTCACCAAGGGACTGAACTACTGGACTTACAACCACATCTTTTTGATAAATGTAGTCTTTGTCTGCGTGTGAGAGCGCATAACGAAATCCCCTTTTTGCATATGTAGAGTCCCCTACATACTGTATGCAAAAAAAAAGGAACACCAAGCTGAGGAGTGGTGTTATGCAGAGGGAGAATCAAATCATTTTACAACCAATATTGTTTCAATATAGCTCAACGCAGTGTGACGTACATTATAACCACATATATGTATAACCACCGGACTACTCTGACTGTAGTGTTTTCACAGATGTTTGTTTATTTTGGGCTCCACAGGATATTGGAATGTGGATGAGTTAGATTTGAGGGCCAACAATATTTCATATATTTCATAACACTACTTGACACACTACAGTGGAGTTAATATCTCTGGAAACTCATCATCTTCCCTTTCACCCCTCGTCCCGCTCCATTTGACCCAGCCGCCTAATATAGCTTATCCTCCTCTACTGTATGTGGAACTTAATTTGTTGTGTCACTGCAACGTGTCTAATACTTGCTGGAGAAAACATTCAAAAACATTCAGCTAACTGCATACATAAAATAAAACTCATGACTGTTTAGTATTTTTAAGCCCCTGGCTACGGCCCTGGAATAAAAAATGTTTAGAAAATGCTTCAACAAATCATAAGAATGACAAATAACGCATTAGTTTTGTAATAAGTTAGATTGGTGTAGTATTTTGCTAAATCCCAATATGAGCTGGGATAAAAGAAAAGTCTTTAAGTACCAGAAAGCTCTGCCAGAGGATCTGACACTGAAATACAAATCTGATTTAAAACCTTTACAATACAGCCAAGGGCTCCACCTTCCTGAGCTTTAAAACGGCATTTGTAACTCTGTGTCATTAACACTTTGAATGCGACTCTGTCCGAAACCGTTTTCAAGATCCTTCTTAACAAAAGTACAAGCACAGATTGAACATCGCTCCATTTCTGGCCTCTCTGCTCTGGACTCCCTTCATGGCCTCTTGTCAAGTTCAGGATCCGTTTAAAATGTTGCTGATCCCCTACAAAGCTCTGCCCATGAGAACGTTCCTGAACTGCTAACCCCTCTTTACTCCGTGAAATCCCACAGGTCCTCAAACTAATTACTGCTGATGATCACAAATGTAAAAAATGTTGAACTCTTTTGCTGCTTTCTACATTTACATTTCTTCCCATATGTCTGTCTTTAACAGGACTGATGCTCTAATATTTTGTTCTAAATAACTAGAGATTCTGGATTTGTTTTTGATTAAACATTTCTACTACTACTCAAGTGTGTTCATTTATTTCTTTGACTCTATGTATCTTTTCCTAACAAGTCTAAGATTCTACAGTTTCATGATTAGTGGTAAATGCTAATAATTTTGGCATGGCAACATGGTACAAACACTTACAAGGGATCATCAACATCATTAAGATTCATCGCCTGGGAACTATATGAAGAAAATATGAAGTGCCAATCATTTCGTTAGATGTTCAGCTATTTGTCCATCATATCTTATCTCAATGTTAAAGTCAATCAAATCTTAATCTTGCTACTGGCGCTGGTAAAAAAAAGTAATGGGAGTGAGATCTTGAGAAGAAGTGAGCGGACGTCATCCTCTGACCCTGACCTTCTGTACAAAACTTTATGACAATCTGTTTTAAATCTTTCCTATCATGCAAAATGCACTTTTTGATGTCTTGTATACATAAATATGTAAAAAAACAACCCTCTCTCTTTCCCTCTGTGCCCGCATCTCTAAAAACGGGGGTACAATGGAGATGATCAGGATTTGCTGCCGGTAATATCGGAAATGTGGTCTGGCTTTACGCCCACGGCCCTATCAGGAACGTTGCTATCAGAAACAATGCGCGACGTGTTTTGGACGTAATATGGTCTTTGTTTACATTAGCAAGCATCGCTAACACTGTGCTGAATGTGTAAAGAAGCAGGAAGAGTATTTGTAAAGAAGCAGAAAATAAAAAAAGGAACTCACCTTGTGGTAAACCCGCAAGAGAAAAACCATTTGAGCTCCATACTGGTTCAGAAATTATCCTTGATGTGGTTTGGAACATGATATGGCATGTAATCACGGCAGCATTTAGCTGCATCTGAGCAGAGCAGACAGCCTGTTCGTCACAGAACTCACAGTGTGCCTGTGTGCTCAAAAGGGGGCGGGGCCAGCATCAGCCCAGTTGAAATCTGAAGCTACTGACCCAGAATCAGCACTTCTCCAGCAGGGCTGAAATGGAGGGATGTCTAAAATGCATGATCTGTTTGGTATTTTGAGCAAAACACTTCATAGATATGTTTTTGATATATTTTTATATAAATATATATATCTGAGACCCATAATATATGCCTAAAAATAGCATGATAGGAGACCTTTGAGGTTACTAATTCAGTATATGCATATATAATAAGTACCTTAACAATCTAATACTTACATAGACTAAATGGACGAGACCTCATTTGTCATGACCTGACAGGCAGAGGGTAAGCAGAGACACTCAATGATGTCACCCTTAGGTGCATCACATCTCAATCAGTGGTGTACAGACAACCCTAAAGCCAGGCTGCTAAAACGCACTGTATAACTGTTAAGGCAGGCGCACTGTTAACAAAGATGGATTCATTATTTATTCCCTAAGTGCATATATTTGTTTCACCTTACAATATAAAAAATGATTATTTTGCTCTGACTATATGTTAATGAAAGTTTTTGTATTCAGGGTGTGGAGTTAATCAACCATGATGTAAACCTTATCCTGGTCTTCTATCTATTCAAATTAAATATTAATTATCAGAGTCTCAGTAGAAAGATACCTTTTAATGTTCTGCCCTCTATATAATTATTTTTAATCTGGAGAAGCTGACTCTCTCCTCTCCTCCTCTCAGATTGAGGCAGTGGGCACCAAACTCCCCCCATCCTCGTTCAGCTACACTCACATCCAGTGTATCCTCTATGCATTGGGGGTGGGCATGTCTACCAAGGACCCCGACCATCTTAGGTGTGTATCTGTGTGTGTTTAATGACTGTCTAAGGGGTCTGGTAAATCAGCCTGTGTGAAATTAAATTGAATCTATCCAGGATTACCCACCAGAGCTGTGCGAGTGTGATTTGTCACAGTTGAGTCACTTTTAACATTTCCATGCAGGTTCCTGTATGAGGGCCATGAAGACTTCGTCTGCCTCCCCAGTTTTGGGGTCATTGTGGCCCAGTCAGTTCTGATGGGGGGGGGGCTGACCTCAGTCCCTGGACTCAACATAGATTTCACACAGGTTAGAACATACAAGTCTGATTCTGTCCGTGTGAATGTGTTGTGTGCTCGTATGCATGCATGTATTTAACACGGTCTTGCACACATAATTCATGTTAATGAGGCTTTAAGACTTTGGTTGTTATATCACAGCTGTTCTAATGTTGTGTGTCAGGTATTGCACGGAGAGCAGTATCTGGAGCTTTACAAGCCTTTACCCACCTCAGGTATTTCCCTCTCTGCTGTTATAGTACATTCCATTTATTTGATAGAAGTAATACATGTACTGTGTAGATTTCAATTTATAAAATAAAATTGTTTTGAGCCATTCATTTACAAAAAGCCATTTTCATGTAATTGAATGATGTATAACGGGGAGCAGTCTGAGTTTATTTGAAAACTTGAGTCTTTTAGTTTGAGATTTTCTGAAAGATGAATCCCTTACAATCTACCAAAAAGGATTGGTACACATATTTGACCTAAGTGATGAATTGATATTCAAAAAAGCTTAAAGGCGATGTGTCAAAGGTCTAACAACACAACTCTTTTGACTAGGCCTTGGCCAATGAAAAAAAAAAAAGGTTCTTAAAAAGGTTTGGCTCGTTTGAAGCAAATGTTTTTGAATTACCTGCAGGGCTTTTGCTGCTCTGAATTCATATCTTGCACTGCTTTTAAGTCGCTTTGGTTAGAATCGTTAGCAGATGTAACGGCACAGTTATGTCTTGAAGTACAGAGCGAGTTTAGTATTAATAAGTACTAAGCAAGACTAAATGACTATACTTTGTTAAAGTGGAATGTGTAAATGACCTTTTCCAGGGACCCTCACCTCTGAGACCACCATAGCAGACGTGTTGGACAAAGGATCAGGAGCCGTCATCCTCATGGACGGTGAGTTGCTTTTCCTTTCACAACCTTTTTATTATTATAGTGTATTAATTCCACACTCATTTGTTTTCATCACTTTAATGTGGCTTTTCCTGAAAGTTGCCTCCCAGGCTGAATTCATCAAAGTTAATTTCAGTCTGTGTCTGCAGGGATTGAAATAATGGACTGAGAACGGCTCATATTTTTTGTCAATTCCATAGAGATGGATGATATTATAGGCACTCTGATCTATAATTAATCCGACTTTAAACAAATAACACGGGACTGGAAGTTCCCTGAGGATTCACATAGAGATGTAATTTCCTTATGCACTTTGTGACTAAATCCGCTTCTGTTATTCTCCTCGACTGGAGGCAAAGTCATTTCTGTGTTAGACAACAGGTCACTGCAGGAGCCGCTCTGTTTGTTTTGTACCTGCTTGTATTTTTATTAATTGACCCAGTGAAATTAACCGGTGAGTATTTCAACAGGAGTCTGGATTTGTTTCTTCCTGACAGCTGCTAATTGTCCCTTCACAGTCAGCTTCCATGTGGGCGTGTCCTCCTGCTCTAATTTACTCTCAATAGAGAGCATAAGTCCCTCCCTTTCCGGTGGACCACCATGGGACCTTATTTCGGAATAAATATGTATGGTAGTCAATGAGAGAACATTTGTTTTGATCCCGTTTGAATTGTGCTGTGAATTACTCATGTTTGTCAATTATTTTTTTTTATTTCCAAGTCAAGAAAGTCACAGTTTGTCGTAAAACTGTTGAAATATAAGACTATGAAAATATGCAACTAGAAAGACCACAATTACAAGAGTCGCGTAAGTGATGTCATAACTCGTTTAACACTCACCGAAAACCTTGTACAGCCGGTCCCACATGCTGGCTCTTACGGAACCGACTAACTCCCCGTTTGTGTGATAGCAGCTCTTAACATGCCCACACGTGTAATGATTTTCACCTCGTTTAATACTTTTCACCTCATTCAGAAATGTGCCAAGGTGACGGCCATCTTGGTGTTGGTGACGTGTGTTGTGCGAGACCAGAGATGACGTTCATTGAGCGGTTTCACACAAAACTAAGTGTTACTTACTCACTGACAAACCTTTTTCTTGACTTGCAAAATTATCTTTTAAATTGACAAATATCATATGTAATTTATGGCACAATTCAAACGGGATCGAAAAATTATTTCTCTCTCGCCATTGACAACCATACATATTTGCTCCGAAATAAGGTCCCATGGGTCGGAAGTATGGGCTGTAGTAAGGACATGTGGCTGAAGCATGCTCTCTCTCCACTGTGTTTGAGGCTGTAAGCAGTTGGCTATTTGAGGGGGGGGATGCCATCCAGTTTGTTAGCATAATTAGGGTGAAGTTAAATGTGTCAGTCTGCCTGGTTATCTTTTACCTGACTGTGGCTCGTTGGTAGCCTCCGCCTTGCACAGCTGCCCCACTTCCTGTCTGCACACACAGTCTGTGACCCCCCCCCCCCAGAAGCTGCTCTAACAGTGTATTGATAAATCCATGGAGCCGTCCGTGTTGCTGAAGTAGCAACTGTTTCTCATCCCAGTCAAAGTATTATTCAAACAAGGGATACTAACTTAATAATTATGATACCTTTGGTGAGTGTAGCATTTTAAACCAAGTTCAAGACATAACATTTCATATTAATAAAAAAAGGAAAGTAGATTTTAATGCATTTATAAATGCAACATGAACTGTAGTAGTTTTCCTGTGACCTCACTGAGTCTACATCTACCGCGACCTTAGCCAGAACAATATGGATATAATGTAAAAATAAGCAGTAGACATTAGAGGAACTTAACTACTAAAAGTAGCCTATAGTATATCAAGTATGTTTTCCTTTTTCAAACACAAGTTAATTTTTGAAAATAATCACAGATAGAAAACAAAGAGCAAATTATATATATTATATATAGTATATATATATACAGTATATATAGACATTATAAAGATATTCAGAGCTTGGATACATTGCACAACTGAAGCAGAGCATTACATTACCGGGGAGAGGGTCTCAGTCCCTGAAAGTGTGCCAGGCCACAGAGCAATGTGTACCGTCTGCTGAGCAATTTAGGAGGTAGTTAAGAAAAATACCTCATCAAAACCCTCTCATTCCTTCCCCTTCAATGCCGAGTGCTTTCTCTGCAACACTTTAAAGATGTCTCCGTGCTGCTGGTCAACAGTAGGAGGTCCTGGCTTATTGCTCTGAAATCAAATGTAACTTTTTGCCAATAGGAGAAGCTCGTTCAAAGGCTGGACCGCTGTCAGAGAGCCCTTTGCCAGAAACAAACCCCAGATTAATTTGTATGTCCTCCAAAAGTAGAGTTGTAAATATTAGAAGGTCGCGCCAAATGACGAATATGTAGACCCTACCTCTTTCGTGGATTTGACGCAGAGGGGAGGCATCCTGGGATAAAGAATATTAAGGGATTGGGTTGCACTGCGATCTTATCATATTCTATTTGCATGTATATATACTTTTTGCACTACTTTTCATTTTGTATTTTTGTATTTTATTATAATATATGTTGGATTGTTGGAGGATTTTCATTTCCATTTCTACACTGTAGCTTTGTGCATATAAAACCTTTGAATTGAATTGAAGGATGTTGTACTCTCTCTCCCCAAAGTAATTATTCTGTGCTTGAGTAGAAATCTGAATTCAGTTCTTAAACTTCGTATACTAAGGTATTGCTACTTTGACATAAATAAGAACCACTTCTTACACCATGAATTTGAGCTTGAAGCCACATTGTTGCTGCTTTACAGTGAAGACGTTCTGTGGCGAGGAGCTGATCTGCTTCAACCAGTTCTCAGTGTTTGTGGTGGGGGCCGGGGGCTTCGGAGGGAAGAGGAGCTCTGACAAAGCCATAGTACGTATTCCATGTTTGAGTTACAGAGTCAGACATTTGGAGATATTGCAGGCTTACATTTGATTTGTGTTACTTCCTGCAGGCTCCTCTGCCCCCCCCTCAGCGGGCACCAGATGCTGTGGTGATTGATTCCACCAGCACAGACCAAGTGAGTGAGTGTGTGTGGGTTTAGCTGCGGAATAAATCATCCGCATTGATGATGTGTGGGTGAAATTAGGACATATTGTTTTTCTTGCTCTGAAATAACCTTTTGACAAAATGTGAAAAAGTGTTGAAGGTTTTCATACACTTTATAAAATAAGAACAATGAATTTATCATACAAAAAATAACAAAAGGAAGAAGGGGGAAAAACGACATCCCTAGAGCACTTTAAAGAGTGCAACTGTATCACTTCAAAGACATTCTTATTTTAGGTATCTCCTCCACTGCCTTCATGATGATTTAATTTCATACTACATCTGTATATGAAAAGTTCAGGGGTTTATGAATTAGATATAGATCTGAACAATATGTGTTTCCCTACAGGCGGCCCTGTACCGTCTGAGTGGGGACTGGAACCCCCTGCACATAGACCCCAGCTTCGCCGCCATGGGAGGTGAGAGGCTGTGCATCCATTGTTTGCTTTTCAGTCAAAAGCCTCTGTATTTGTCTTGGTCTAGAACAGGGGTGTCCACACTCTTTTCACTGAGGGCCACATACAGAAAAACATACAAAGGGCTGGGCCGCTCAGTTGAGGTATATCGCCTTATCAGTTAAGATATAAGTTAGCAAAATCAATCAAATGTAGGTAAGTTATGCGTGAAAAAAACAGCTTAAATCACAGCTTTGGCAATTAATTCCTTAAAATGGAAGCCTCAGGTAGCACAGAGCTCACTTCTGGGCCATATTTCATTATACTTTTTGAATTAGCTGAGGGCCAATTCAAAATGCCTGCGGGCCACATTTGGCCCCCGGGCTGTAGTTTGGACACCTCTGGTCTAAACCTAATATTTCCTGGGATTTCAGGCAGTCATGTGTTTTACTCATCATTTCTCTTGGACCAGGCTTCAAGGCTCCCATTCTGCACGGTTTGTGTTCGTTCGGCTTTGCAGCGAGACACGTCCTCAAGCAGTTTGCAGACAACGACACTTCCAGATTCAAGGCGATCAAAGTAAGCATCACCTAGGATTCAAACCCTGTCCTCCTTGTTGGGAAATCATTTGCTTAGGTATTTAACTTTTGACACAGTTCATTGTTTTTTCCGTTCACTGTCTCTTTCCCCATGGCATACGTCTACAGTCCTCGGGTGTTGCTGCTATCTCTCTTAAGGAGGGGCATGCCATGAGTTTATTGTTCCGGAACATCTAGAGGCCCTTCTTTTCTGGAACGTAGGTTCCCTGGCGCACAGTCTTTTCTACGGACAGCAGCTCTAGCTAGATTAAGGGTCCATATTCGTTTAGTCTCGCTGATGAAGAATGTTGATTATTACACTCCGAACTAGTTAAAACCTCGAACTGCAGAAAAAATCTTGAGGATTTGTTTGGCAACCGCTGTATCACCTCGTGGCGGCAGCAGATGTCTTGTCCTTTCTGCGGCCGTAACTCCATAATAAACCGTCAGTGTTTGCCATCAAAGTTCCATCTCTCCCCGTGTCTCTCTAAGTTTCGTCTCCATTGCTTCAGAAGTTTCCATCACACTCGTGTTTATCATGCAACAACCACTTGTAGGAAGATTTTGTTCTTCGGCGGCACATCCAAAACTGAAATGCTTGATAAATAATGAAGCCTTTATCAAGTGTGTTTAAATGCTAAAGGAAATGTTTAATTAAAGATCCATCGGTCCACTACCTTCGCTTAAATCCGTCTCTCTTCCTCAGGTCCGCTTTGCAAAGCCAGTGATGCCGGGTCAGTCGATTCAGACGGAGATGTGGAAGGAAGGCAACAGAATTCACATCCAGTGTAAAGTCAGTATTTAGCGTCAGTGTGGGTTACAATCACCGTGAACACATCTGTGGATAAACGAGTGTGACTTCTGTCGGTCCAGGTGAAGGAGACGGACGCTGTGGTGCTGACGGGGGCCTATGTGGATCTACATGGAGCAGCAGAGGCCTCTCCAGAAGACCCCCCTCAAGTACGTCAGTCGAAAATGCTGCAATCAAACAGAAATATTATTTTCCTCTGCTATAGAAGTCCTCCATGGAGCCCTGGAGCTCCTTTCTTTGTAGTATTTCTATAGTGAAAACACTAAAAGGGTTTTTGTTCTCTCTGTTCTCAGGCAGGGGGTCTTCACAGTGAGCTGGTGTTTGCAGAGATCGGCCGTCGTATCAAAGACACGGGCTCGGAGCTGGTGAAAAAGGTGAATGCTGTGTTCGGCTGGGAGATCACCAAAGACGGGAAGATCGCTGCGCAGTGGAGTGAGTACTGATGTCACTCTCACGGTCGATTCTGTTTCATTTAACCTCCCATGATAAGAGCTCACTGAGAAAGTCAGAGATAACTGATTTGTTTCACCGTAAACTCAGCATGGAAACTTTATTCACTCTGACACTGGCACCTCAAACTAAAAGTATGAATTATAACTGAGCTATAAAGTTGACTCAGATTCAAATGTTACTAACAAGCTTTCAAATATCAGATCAAACATCGGCACAAAAGACAGAATAAATCACCCAATGAGATGTGAAAGCAAAGCCAAAAAACCCAGCAAACTTAGGATCCTTGTGATGTATTCTCTCATCTTCCTCTTCCTCCTGCAGCCATTGATCTGAAGAACGGCAGCGGCTCCCTGCAGAAGGGCCCTCACAGCGGGAAGGCTGATGTGACCATCACCGTGTCGGACGAGGACTTCCTGGAGGTGGTGCAGGGGAAACTCAACCCTCAGAAGGTAACACACAAAATTCAGGCCATTTTGAATCAGCCCTCAGCAAATTCAAAAAGTATAATGGAGTATGGCCCACAAATGAAACTTGTGCTTGTCTCGTATTGTACTTCTTAAATATAGATGAAAGCAGATATCACACAGTATTCATGTGTTAAGAAGCCCACTTTTCAAATAATTCAGTCAATTCAAGTTGAAAATGTTTTCTATCAAATCTAAGTTGATAAGAAAAAAGCCCAATAACTTATTCTCAAAACACGCTTGAAATAAACCCTTCCTATTTCCTCTTATGATAAGCTCCTGTTTTAAGGAATGAGCTGCTAACAAAATAAATGAAACCCTCTGGAGAGCTGGGATGTAGGCTGTTGTTTTTCTTAAAGCATATTCAAGTATTAAGAATAATTTACCTTCATTTGATTAATTTAGATAACCTTTGAGGCAATACACCTCACCTCTAGTGAGTGGCCCAGCCCTTCGTATATCTCTCTATACTGTTACATTGTTCCAGAGCACCACCTGCTTAGCATCTATACACTGAGGGAGTGTTGTAGTTCAACAGGAAGGTGACCCCCAGGCGGTACTGCTGGCGACCTATGCGTCGTAGGAGAAATTTGACGGTAGATTATAAGGAGGACGACGAGAAAGTAGTAGCCGTTCCGACCTTTAATTAGTAAAGTTAACTGAAGAAACTGTACTACTCTAGTTCCTGTTTCCGTGACGAATTAATTTTACAGTTCCACCCTAAAATTGTGCCTCCTTCTTTTCTGCCCTAATAATTTTTTTTAATTATATTCTTAGACA